GACAGTAAATGTATTGTTGTTAGTTTCAGATTCATTGATAGTTTATGACAGTAGAAGTATGCCATTATGGACACAATTAAAGTACAACATGATGCCAATGGTCACCAAATACCATATGAAATATTATAGAAAATACAACTAATAAAACGTGATGATCCAAGGAATTGTCAACAGTTACGCAGTAAGTACAAGATTATATTATTGATGTTTATGAAAGTGAATAGAGTGTGAAGGGGGTGGAGTGGCTGAGCTTGGTCTTTTGAGTTTCTCTATACTTTTATATGGTCCAACTGTAATGTGAGTGTCTCATTAGTTGAATTCATGTGGTTTTTCACATCATATTGTAGAAATGTAATATTCCTAAGATAACCAGTCAAATGTCTATTCAACTGAACATGCTCTTGTACATATTTTTAAAGTAAAGTATTTAATATGCCATGGTTCAAAAATTTCAAACTGCCTTGTCTTAATGCAGTTTTCAGCCTTTTATAGGTTTCCCATATCATTAAGTATCAAGTTGTAAGGATACAACTTTTTGCAAGGGATGTTTTTATTTCAAACTGTTAAAAATTTGATTTGATTTTCAGAATAATCGACTGTAGATTTGTGATTTTAGTGAAAACCAAAATTAATGATTTGAATTAACACATTTATAATGACTCAACTGAGTCAACTTTTGATATATTTTTTTATAATTTTAAACTAGAAAAGATGTATATTTACAACTTATGGTTGGCTCTATGTGCATATATTGTGGTCTATGGAGACTTCAATTGTAATACAAGAGTTAATCAGCAATACACACAGTTAAAGCATTTATAAAGTTGAAATGCAATTTTAAATAAATCTGTTTGAATGTTTTTAAGTTTACTAACAATATCATATCATCATCCTTAGACAGATCTCTTTATGAGGAGTGATATGATATTACAGAATGTGATATGTTCTATTTATAACGTTGGTATTTGTGAGTATGACATTGATGGGTAGTAGATGTACATAACCTGCAATGGACAACTTAATTGAACATACATTGATTTAATTAAATAGTTTAATTATCTAATGGATCTATTACTAGTTGCTGGTGTTATTAAATTAGATCTCAATATATGGTATATGCTGTCAAATGTCTTGTGGTATTTAACTTCATTATTGTCGTTCCAAACATAGGGCAGAATTTCCCGTCCTGATTTCTGTATATATTTTGTAATGTCAATATTTTTGACTCCCATGTGCAAGGCACACAATAAAGGCATGTGTGTGTTTGTCTGTCTGATCCACTGATATCTCAAGAACATTATGTTTGTTTTTTTATGAAACTTGATGCATAGATGCTCTGGACTAATGCACATATTTGATTCAGTTTCTAGTTAAATCCATGCATATTAATCACCTAATTTGCATGATAATAAGTCTTTTTTAGTTGTTCCATAGCTGTTTCATTGATATTTAAGGAACTACACATTGGATTTTGATTAAACTTGGTATAAACTGTGCATGTTACATTACATAATTTGCATAATGATTAATCATTTTTCAGCTTTTAAACTGATATCTCAAGTACTAATCATCACATTCCAATGAAACTTGGTACCTGATTAGTTTTAGATTAATCCCCGTGCATACTAATTACCTAATTTGCATAATTAGTATTTTTTGTTGCCTTTTTCTCTGATATGTAAAATACTAATAATTACATTTCAGGTCTTTTAAGACTATGCACAGACCTAATTAGTTTTAAATAAAAATCTGTGCATATTGATCACCTAATTTGCATAATGATTAGTAATTTTTCTGTTTTTTCACTAATATTTAAGTACGAACCATTGCATTTCAATGAAACTTGGTACACAGATGCTCTAGGGCTATACACAGAACTGATGTGTAGATTGATCACTTATTTAAATTTCTGACTTTTACTAGTTTATATAAGCCAACATCCCCTGGAGAGGAAGCACCACCTCCATATGATGCCAGTTTATTGGATAACCCTCCCACTACTCCAGTGAGTACCACTGATCAAGATGCAGCACTGCTTTCAACAAGTCCTGAAGATCCTAGGTCGCATTTACATCAGAATATGTGTAAGTTGTTTTCATCCATATATCATATATGATTTTGACATGCTCCCATAGTATGTGCTCAGTTCTCAAGATCTCTCTTGAACATTTAACTAAAACCATTATGAACATTATATTCAATGCTACACATCGAGACCCCTGAAAGTCCTGCATCCTCGTATTTTCATTGATGACCCCTGAAGGTCACACATCCTGGATTTTTCATTGGTGACCCCTAAAGATCACGCATTCTGGATTTTTCATTGATGACCCTTGATTGTCACGCATCCTGGATTTTTCGTTGGTGACCCTTGATTGTCACGCATCCTGGATTTTTCATTGGTGACCCCTGAAGGTCACACATCTTGGTTTTTCATCGATGACCCCTGAAGGTCACGTATCCTGGCACTTCAATACATGACCCCCTGAAGGTCGCACATCCTGGCACTTCAATACATGACCCCTTAAGGTCGTACATCCTGGCACTTCAATACATGACCCCTTAAGGTCTCACATCCTGGCACTTCAATACATGACCCCTGAATGTCACACATCCTGGCACTTCAATACATGACCCCTGAAAGTCACAAATCCTGGCACTTTATTGAAGACTTTTAAAGTCATATCATCCTGGTGCAAGTTCATCTGATACAATTTATGATATGTCATTCACCCTATAGCTGCAGATGACAGGTCTCTCTGGCATCTAAGCTGTAAGTAATGAATATTCATGATATGTCATTCACCCTATAGCTGCAGATGACAGGTCTCTCTGGCATCTAAGCTGTAAGTAATGAATATTCATGCTATGTCATTCACCCTATACTGCAGATGACAGGTCTCTCTGGCATCTAAGCTGTAAGTAATGAATATTCATGATATGTCATTCACCCTATAGCTGCAGATGGACAGGTCTCTCTGGCATCTAAGCTGTAAGTAATGAATATTCATGATATGTCATTCACCCTATAGCTGCAGATGACAGGTCTCTCTGGCATCTAAGCTGTAAGTAATGAATATTCATGATATGTCATTCACCCTATAGCTGCAGATGACAGGTCTCTCTGGCATCTAAGCTGTAAGTAATGAATATTCATGGCTGGGAAATATCTTTATTCACAAACTTATTCCAATAATTGTTAATGGTTTTGTTGAAGACCTGCAGTAAACAGGAAATTATGTTCAGTTGGTTTAAAATTAACAAAAAAACTATTGAAAAATTCATAAAAATGTGCAAAATGTTTTGTTTGTTTTTGTTGTTTTTTTGTTTTGTTTTTTTTTTTGGGGGGGGGGAGTATATATGAAGTTCAAAGTGTTAATGAATATCTGTACTCGTTCTTAGCAGATGAAACTGATTCTCCCCATGCTGTGCTTGATGAATCAACCGATGAGAGAGAAAATGTTCCAATGTTATCAGCAGAGGGCGATAATGATGGAGAGAGATCAGCTACAACAGAGACCAGAGCGTAAACTACAGATGCTATCAAATTGGTACTTATCTGGTCGTATCAGTAACAACAGTTTGTTATGAACTAACCAGTCTAATAATATTTCCTGTATATGTTAATATTTCAACATAGAACAGAACCAAAACCTTGATTATTGTCTTTGACACCATTGTGTTTATTGATGCTAGCATGTATGTAAATGTGTCGAAATGGGCGTAGTGCGAGTGGTTAGTGCAAGTAGCACTAATCCGAAAAAGTACTAGATCTAGTGCTAAAATGGCACTAGATCTAGCGCTAAAATGGCACTAGATCTAGCGCTAAAATGGCACTAGATCTAGTGCGAGTGGCATTGTTATTGCATTGTCAACGACGTCGAATAATAGGATGGGCGTCAACAACCACTTTCATTTGCAAACTGCAAACAGTATAAAACATTGGCAATATGCGCGAGATGTCCATAATAATACTTTCTTTATATAATACCGGATTCTGCCGTAAATTCGCCCATCCGAAAAATCGCCCTGGGGATTTCACGGCTGATGGGCGCTTATTTGGGGTTCAAAATTTCAAAAAATAGTTATCAAATATTTTGGGGGCACATTTTCATTGTATCCAACTACACAGACTTTCTAGCCGTCAGTTGGGCCACCCAAGACGAAAGAAACTATTTCAGAATTAACAATAATTAATAATTCTTGCTGAATTAAAAAGTAGACCACCTGAAATGTCATTAAAGTGTCGCCCAGTGTCATTTTTCAAATACATTTGTTTTTATTTTATTGGCAACAAAAGTATATTTTAAACGACGTTTCTAATAAAAACGAACACAACTGCATTCAAGTTAAGCGATCCCGGCATACGATCACAGATGCTCAATCCGGACATGCACGTTTCACAAACGTTGATTATTAGTCAGTAGTGATTATAATAACGCACAAAAAAAAAATCGTTAATTTTTATGAAATTCAAATAAAATTCAACTTAGTTTCATCGTAAGCAAATGATTCCGATCGCATATAAACGCTCGATGCGGTAGGATATCCGCCATGCGCTTCTCTTGCATGAGTTGAGCTAATAGGTCAAATCGCTAA